CCACGCCTCCTCTGCACTGTCATTCCAGCGTACTACCATCTGCCAGTATGTCCATGCCCGTGCTCATTCTTCCACCCGCACAGCCATTCACCTACTTTTCGCAGCCCAAACACTGACTTCATTTCTCACACACACACCCATGCACACAAATACACACGCGCACATGCACGCACACTCACGCATACTCAGGCACATGGATAAACACATAAATTGTTGCCCATTTTGCACGTTTGTGCGACTGTTGCTTGCGCTTCTTCTTCTTTTTCGTGTTACGGTCGCAGCAGCTGCTTCTTCTTCTTCTTCTTCTTCTGCATTTAATGTGCGCGCGCGCAGTTTACAGTTTGAATTGCGCGCTTCATTTGAAGTTGTTATTTTAGTATTTCTTCATTAATAACTATTATTGCTAATTATTAATCAACCGGATGCTTTGACCTCCAGTGAATTCAATCCATAATTTGAAGAGTAATTAGAATCTATTTTTGGGTTTTGTCAAAACTTAAGTAGATTTTTATGTTATTGTTTTTTGAAAATTTTATTATTTAGCTTTGTCAAAATTGTTGCAGATTTTTATAGTTCTTTGATATAGTGTTTGTTTACCTTTAATTAATTAACTAACTGAACAAATTAGCAGTCTGCAATTATTTTGATATTTTATTTAGGGCGAGGCGAAAGTGAACCAATCTATTTATATATTACCATTGACATTCGTTTGCTCATGCATTTCATCTGCTCAAATTACATTGACCTGCATTGCAACGTGCCACAGAGTCGTGTGGCATAAATATTTAATACAATTTGCTCAAGCCAAAAGCTAAAATCAATTTGATGTCCATTCACTTCTATTGCAGGTGCAACACTCGACACACACACACACGTTCACACTGTTATAAAGAGAGAGAGAGAGGGAAAATGGCGTACCGCAAGCCAAGCGATTTGGATGGCTTCATTCAACAGATGCCCAAGGCGGATATGCGCGTCAAGGTCCAATTGGCTGAGGATCTGGTGACATTCCTCAGCGATGACACCAATTCAATTGTGTGCACAGACATGGGCTTCCTCATTGACAACCTGATGCCCTGGCTGACGGGCAGCCACTTCAAGATCGCACAAAAGTCACTCGAGGCCTTCTCGGAGCTGATCAAGCGTCTGGGCTCCGACTTCAATGCGTATACGGCCACAGTGCTGCCCCATGTGATCGATCGTCTGGGCGACAGTCGAGACACTGTGCGCGAGAAGGCGCAGCTGCTGCTGCGCGATCTCATGGAGCACAAAGTTCAGTCGCCCCAGACGCTAATTGACAAACTGGCCGTCACCTGCTTCAAGCACAAGAATGCCAAAGTGCGCGAGGAGTTCCTGCAGACAATTGTGAATGCGCTCAACGAGTACGGCACCCAGCAGCTCAGCGTGCGGGTGTACATAGCGCCGGTGTGTGCCCTGCTCGGTGATCCCACGGTGAATGTGCGGGAGGCGGCCATACAGACGCTCGTGGAGATCTATAAGCATGTGGGCGATCGCCTGCGACCGGATTTGCGGCGCATTGAAGATATGCCTGCCTCGAAGCTGGCGCTGCTCGAGCAGAAGTTCGATCAGGTGAAGCTGGAGGGGCTGCTGCTGCCCTCGGCGCTGCGCAATGGCACCAATGGCAGCGGTCTGGACGAGGGGGACAACATCTCTGTGCGGGAGCGACCCACAAAGATTGTGAAACGACAGCTACACTCGGCCTCGTCGATGCAGCGCCAGAAGCCCACTACGAACGATGTGGCCGGCGATGCGGGCGCCGTGACCATGGAGATATTCGAGGCCAGCTTTGAGCAGGTGCCGCAATTGACTATATTCCATGCCAAGGACATGGATGACATATACAAGCAAATCCTAGTTATCATAAGCGATAAGAATGCCGACTGGGAGAAGCGCGTGGATGCCTTCAAGAAGGTGCGCGCTCTGCTGATGCTCAACTATCAGGCGCAGCAGCAATTTATGACTGTGCARCTGAAGGAGTTATCTCTGGCCTTCCTGGACGTTCTGAAGGAGGAGCTGCGCTCGCAGGTGATCAGGGAGGCGTGCATCACCATTGCGTACATGTCCAAGACGTTGCGCAACAAACTGGACTCCTTCTGCTGGAGCATACTGGAGCAGCTGATWCAGCTGATCCAGAACTCGGCAAAGGTGATTGCATCGGCCTCCACGCTGGCCCTCAAATATATCATCAAATATACGCACGCGCCGAAGCTGCTGAAGATCTACTTGGAGACGTTACAGCAGTCCAAGTCAAAGGACATCCGCTCAACGCTCTGCGAGCTGATGGTGCTGCTCTTCGAGGAGTGGCAAACGAAATCACTGGAACGACACGCCATCATTCTGCGCGACACGCTCAAGAAGTCCATTGGCGACGCGGACAGCGAGGCGCGCCGCCATTCCCGACTCGCCTACTGGGCATTCCGTCGTCACTTTCCCGATCTGGCGGATCAGATCTATGGCAGTCTGGACATAGCTGCGCAGCGGGCACTGGAACGGGAGCGTGACGGTGGCAGCACCAGCTCCAACGGTGGCGTCCAGCAGCGCCCGGTGGCACCGTCACGCATTGGACGCAGCACCACGAACTCGCTGCAGAAGGCCACGCCCAGTATGCGCTCCATCTCCGCCGTGGACACGGCGGCGGCACAGCGCGCCAAGGCACGGGCCCAATACACGCTCTACTCGAGGCAGAAGAAACCCGCGGTGGCTGTCACGAACAGCAATCTGCATGCTGGATCGGCAACATCGAGCTCAGCGAGCGGCGGCTCGTTGCCCCGGCCACGCCTCAATTCCAACAGCGGCCACCAGAACGTCTCGCCGGGCACGGTGACGCCCACCACACGGATCGGACGCACACGGGCTGGCGTCTCTCAATCCCAGCCCGGATCGCGTTCTACGTCGCCGAGCACCAAGCTGCGAGATCATTATGGCATGGGCGGTTACTTCAGGGGCGGTGCCACGGGGGCCATACCCAAAAAGGCATCCGGCATACCGCGCAGCACCGCCAGCTCCAGAGAGACGAGTCCCAGTCGCTTGGGCGGTGGAGGTGGGCTGATGAAGCGCAGCATCTACTCGACCAGCTCCAGTGCGCGGCGAACACCCGAACGCAATAATCCCGTTCGCACCACAGCTGCGTCCCGTCTGCTGGCCCAATCCCGCGAAGCAGAACTCTCGCTGGGAGGAGGGAGCGGCGGCAACCCGGGAGATGGCGATATTCCCGACTATGTGTCCGGCGACTTTATGCGCAGCGGCGGCATCCGTATGGGACGCAAGCTGCTGGGCCGCGATGAATCGGACGATATTGAYTCGGAGGCGAGCTCAGTGTGCTCGGAGCGTTCCTTTGACTCGAGCTATACGCGCGGCAACAACTCCATGTCGAACTATTCGCTGAGCGGCTCACGGAATCGGCTGGATTGGAACACCCAGCGGGCGCCCTTCGACGATATTGAGACAATTATCCAATACTGCGCCTCCACGCACTGGGGCGAGCGCAAGGACGGCCTGATCAGTCTCACCCAGTATCTGGCCGACGGCAAGGAGCTGACGCAACAGCAGCTGCAATGCGTCCTGGACATGTTTCGCAAAATGTTTATGGACACGCACACTAAAGTCTACTCTTTGTTTTTAGATACGGTCACTGAGTTGATTCTGGTGCACGCACCCGAGCTCCACGACTGGCTGTTCATACTGCTGACGCGGCTGTTCAATAAGCTGGGCACCGATCTGCTCAACTCGATGCACAGCAAGATCTGGAAGACTCTGCAGGTGGTCCACGAATACTTCCCGACGCAGCTGCAGCTCAAGGAGCTGTTCCGCATCATTTCGGACAACACACAGACGCCGACGACAAAGACACGCATCGCCATTCTGCGCTTCCTGGCCGAGCTGGTCAACACGTACGGCAAGAGCAGCGACTTTCCCAGCGATCAGAACCAGAGCTGTGAGCGCACCATCCTGAAGCTCGCCCAAATGGCGGGCGATCACAAGTCGATGGAGCTGCGCTCGCAGGCACGGCAATGCCTGGTGGCGCTCTACAATTTGAATACGCCGCAAATGACGAAGATGCTGGCGGCATTGCCCAAGGGCTACCAGGATACGGCACGGCTGTGCATCCAATCGAATATACGGCGGCAGAGCAGCGGCGCCAACTCGCCRAGCAGCTCGCCGCTGAGCAGCAGCAGCCCGAAGCCGCTGCAGAGTCCGAGTGTTGGTCCCTTCTCCTCGCTCAATATGCACATGAATTCTAGTCCGCGCTCACGCCAATCGTCTGTGGAGCAGGAGGTGAACTATAGCTTCTCCGAGCTGGAGGTGCAGCACAATATACAAAAGACCTCCGAGGAGATACGCTCCTGCTTCGCGGGCGGCCAATACCAATCGCTCGCGCCCAATGGCTACAACGGACACCATCTGCAATTCGCCATGGATCAGCAGCAGCAGCATCAGCAATCCGGTCGAGATCTGACAGCGCAGCAGGACTCGCTGTCATCGAATTCGAAAACCCAATCGTCGGCCAACACCACGCAATCGAATACGCCGGAATCGGCCACGATGCGACTGGACACAACAGCTCCGCCAGCTCAGCCACCGTCAAAGATTTCGCTGCTCGTTGCGGAGAACGGGGAGCTGATACTGCCGGGCAATCTGCTCGAGAGCGAGGTGATGCGCGTCGCCCTGACGCTCAACAAGGACCAGCCCGTGGAGCAGCTGCAGACGGCGCTGACCAATCTGGGCATCTGCATACGGGGCGGCAACTGCGAGCTGCCCAACAAGCATTTCAAGTCGATAATGCGAATGCTACTGCACATGCTCGAGGCGGAGCATACGGATGTGATCATCGCTGGCCTGCACGTGCTCAGCAAGATTGTGCGCAGCGACAAGATGCGGCACAATTGGCTGAACTTCCTCGAGCTGATCCTGYTGAAGATCATGAACTGCTATCAGCACAGCAAGGAGGCGCTGCGCGAAATAGATACGATGATACCGCGAATAGCGCCGGCTCTGCCCCTGGATCTCACCATTAACATTGTGAATCCGGTGATTGCGACGGGCGCCTTTCCAGCCAATCTGTGCGCCATCAAAATTCTGCTCGAGGTAACCGAACAGCACGGCACCGAGATAACAGATGCCCACCTGGACACAGTGTTTCCGAATCTGGCCCGATCCGCCGACGATCTGCAGTCGATGGTGCGCAARGCGGCGGTCTTCTGCATTGTCAAGCTGTATCTAGTGCTCGGCGAGGAGAAGCTCAAGCCGAAGCTCGCGGTGATGAATCCCAGCAAAGTGCGCCTACTCAACGTGTACATTGAGAAGCAGCGCAACTCCAACTCGGCCGGTGGCTCCACCAAGAACTCCTCGGCGGCATCGTCCTCATGATTGCGAGCCAACATCCAAAGCTCACACACACACACGAACACCACACACAAAGACACGTCGTCTCTTAGCTTATGCAAAAAGTGAAGAAAGAAAGAAAACTTAAAAAATAAAAGAAAAAACGATACATATAAACTAAAACACAATTGATGATATATATATATATTAAAAAAAAAAAAAAAACGATATAAATCACACACTAATTAATTTATAAACTTAATTATTACTGATGGATGAGCAACATCGTCATCAGCATCAAGGCAATAATGCTAACAAATTCAATAATTGTGTAATTGTTTATTACGATTAAAAAAAGAAAACAAAAACTGGCAAAGACAAAAACAAAATCGAAAACAAAACAGAACAAACTATTTATATACTTCAAAGAAAACTAAAAAGAGAGAAACTTGTAGCCAACTCGTAACAGTCTCCCAACACACACACACACACTTACATTGTAACCAGTTTTCTTGCAGCTTTTCTTCTATTTCGTTTATATATATAAATAATGAGTCACTTAATCATATATGATTTCCTTTAGTTCTTAAGTCTTTAAGCAAACACCTAAATATTTTTTCTCTTTTTAATTTCCGCTCAACTCGAAGAAAGCAACTACAAAAAACTAATTTACACAATTTTCTGCTGTTTTTACAAGAAAAACTATTTTTGTAATTATTTAATAAAACAACAAAAAACTACACACTTCTAGGTTATGTAATAATATTTATAAATTAATTAAATCAATAAAAATAAAAACAAAACCGTTAAAAATAAAAACAAGACATGCAAAAAATAAAAACATTAAAAACGCTCCCAAAATATATAAATCAATTCGTTTGGCTTTTATTATAGTAATAAAAAATTCAATTCTTTTCTAATTTGATTCTTGATTTATTTTGTTTTTTTCTCATAAAATTTAAACGTTCAAATATTTGTTTTATTTACACAAGGACTTAAAATTAACTACATGTATATATAATTTTTTTATTTTTATTTTTTTTTTTTGTTTTTTCTTTTTTTTAAACCTTGAAAATATTTGTCATAAAATTTCAACACTACGAAGTTTTTGTTCTCATTTTATTATAATTTTTTTGTGTGAATAATTTTTTAATTAACAACTAATATTGTTTTTATTTAATGATTTGACTAAAAACATTTTTGAATGTTTTATCGATGTGTTATTTTTTTTCTTTTTTTTAGATTTGGATTTGTTTTTAATTCATTACTTTTTGTTGGGCCCTTTTGAAACCTGAACTGGTTTTTTATACATTAAAACTGATAAAAATTTGTCAAAAATCTAAAATCGTTTTTTTCTTTTCTATAATGTAACTAAATTAAGGCACTTAAATCGAAATAAAATTAAAAAATAAAAACTGTTTAGCAATTGAAATTGGAGAAGTACAAAAGGAAAATGAAGAAAATCAAGTTGAAATATTTAGTGCTTTGCTTTAACTAATTACAAATTAAAATTAAAAACTTGAATTAAGTACCGTTGTAATATGTATTGTTGTATATATACCATATATATATTATATAACTAACAAAATGTAAAAGTCGTTTCATTTTTGTCGCATCAAAGTTCTTTTCAATGGCACATCTTTCACTAATTATAATTAATTACGCAGAGAAATTGCTTAGAAACGAAAACGAGAGAACGAAATGCATTGCTCTACGAGTATGTACAGTGGGACAATTCGGTTGCTCCAATGGCAAACATTTTGTGTGTTCATTCAACATTCAACTACTTAACGCTTAACGCTTACTTATCAATTTACATTTTGGCCTTGTTTGTTTATTTTTTTTACTGTTTTTCGTTTTTTTACTTTATTTGTTATATGAATTTTGCACGCAATCAACGCCAGCAATGCCCGACAATAAAATACTCTACAATCTGTTCCGGGCGGGGCATTGCCGTATTTTGACCGAAAAAGGCACACACAGAGAGAATTTCTTTTCTTTAAATGACAAAACGACAAGGTTATCCATATATGCATATATATATACTCTATATATATATATATTTTTTTTTTTCTTTTTTTTTGTGAGCTCTTTCAGTAGCCATTGCAGCGTATCTCGTTGTAGCGCGCTCTGCTCGCCGCACTGTAGGCCGCATAGCCGTATCGCTCATACGCCGCATAGTCCGCCGCATAGTAGGGATACAGCTGGCCACGCATACGACTGCGCGGCATTTGACTGTGACCGTGGTGACCGGGACTCGGATAGCCATAGCCATGCTGCTCCTCGTATGGCCAATAGCCGTGCATGTTGCCACCAATTGGGGCATCGTAGTAGCTGTTGCCCATGTTGCTGCCATAGTTGCTGTTGTTGTTGGTGCAATTGCTGTTGTTGCTGCTGATGCTGCTGCTGCTGATGTTGCTGCTGTAACTTGCTGCGTATTCCTCGGCCAGTCGCTCGACTAGACTCTCGGGCGTTTGCAGAAAACGCTCAGAGAAGCGCCCGATTTCGGTGGAGCCGAACGCCTGCTGAAAGCCAGGCAAAGGCTTGATATCCTGTGAGGAAACAATATCGAATCAATTGCTGTGTGAATTTAGCTGTAAGCGTTCTTGTTGTTCGCCTGGTATATACCCTACACACAATGCAACATACAATATCAATCGATGATTATATCCTAATTACTTTTGAAACTGAGCTTTGCACAGGGTGTTCAGGCATGAACAATAAAATATGGATGGGTAGATTTCGATAGGATTAGCAATATGTAACAGAATTCTATGATTAAGAGAAGAAACGAGAGACAACTATTGTTGGTTGTTACATTTCATTTTCATAAATATACTAAAAACTTCTCTTATCAAAAAATAATTTCGAAATAAAAAATGTAAAAAATCGAATTATGTTATTATTTTAGTAGAAACTTAGTCAAGCAATTTTTAGCAAGAAATTTTCAAAGCTAGTTGCTGCTGCTTGAGGTAGGGGTATTCATGTTTTTCAAAAGCCATTTCTTTATCTTCAGTGTGTGTGCGTGTGTGTGTGCGTGTTTGGTCTCACCCTTATTTGTTCGCGCACTGTGGCCTCCATGGCTTCTACATGCTCCGTTTCCGTTTCCGTTTCCCGTTTGCTCGCCTTGCGTTTTGATTTCTTGCTCGGTATGAGATCGCATTCGATTATGCGGTTGTTGTTGTTGATGTTTGTGTTGCTGTTATTGTTGTTGTTGCTGTTGCGATTTTTGGCACTGCGCCTGCTGCTCAGCGGTGGCTGATGCTGCTGCTGCTGCTGCTGCAGCAGGGGCGCCAGCGCAGGTGGCACAGCTGAGAGGCCATAGCCGACGGGCGAGTTCTGCGGCGCGGGCGGCGTGCGTGACCGTCTCGATGCCGGGCTCCAGTTGTGCGTAGCTCCCGCTGCTGTTGCTGCTGTTGGCAGCTGCTGCTGTAAACAGAACAAGCAAAAAAAATAAAAATCGATTTAGTTTGCAGTTGCAGCACAAAAAGTTGTTACGCTCAAGTGGCGGGCACTTGAAACTTGCCAGCAAAGGTGCCCTGTGAGGCGCGTGCTCATAGCTTGTGTTGTCAAGCAACCCAACCCCGGCAACTCCGCCCAGCCAGCCCACCGCCAAGCACAACAGCAGCAGCCCATTGAAGTTCACCCAAAAATCAATAGGCGCCCGCTTTTGCTGCTGCTGCTGCTGCTGCTGCAGAGGCACCCTGTAGTAAGGCTTCCGGCTAGCTAGCGCGCTCTGTCAAGGAGCTGCGCTTCATGAGTCACCCTGTTCGAAGGCTTTCGGCTTGTGTGCCGCTCTCTTTACTTGCGCACGCTCACTTTTGCGCACTCTCATTCGCTAGTGCGCTCGCTCTCTGTTGTCTGTCTGGTGTCGCTCTCTGCCTAGAAAGCCGGTCGATGGAGCTAAACGCATTTCGCTTTTGGTCTTCTCTTTTGAGTCGGCTGCTGCGGCGGCTGCTGCTGCTGCGCTGCTTCGGCTGCTGCTGTTGTAACGGGGCATCATTGTAGTCTGTCATTATCAGTCTGCCGTTACATTGCTTCTGATTCTTCTTCCACTCCTTTTTTGTTGCTTTGCCCTAATTTGTCATGGCAGCTGCGTGGCGCTGCGTTGCCTAATTGAGCTGCTGCTGATGCTGCTGCTGCTGCCGCTGCCGCTGTTGGCGCTGCTGTCACCTGTCTGTTGCTTAATTAGACAAGTCAGATGCCCCCTGCTATCACTGCCTCCCCCTGCTACATCCCCCTTCCGACTGCAGTTTTAATTTGTAATTTTGCGCCAACTTACCCCGACTGCATCGTCGTTGATTTGATTAGCTGCTGACTGCTGCTCCCCAATATCYTGTGGCGCTGTTGTTGCTGCTGTTGGTGTTGTTAGTGTTGTTGCTGTTGTCTGCTTGTTGGGCTTCGCCAAATTGATTTCCGCACGGTTCACAACATCCGGCTGCTCCGCAAGGCCCGCCTTATCAGTATCATTCACAATAGGCGGCGACGCTGACGCTGACGTCGATGACGACGTGGGAGTGGACGTCGCTGCCGTCGTGCTTATGTCATCTGGAAAATTGGCAAAAAAAAGGCGCCCGCCCAGGCAGGCAACGTGTATTAAATAAAAATCAATAAAGATTGCCTTCCCACCATTTTTTTTATTATATTTTTCGCATATTATTTTTGAGGCGTTTTGTAATTATTTTGTCATGCGTGCTGGCGGCTATCAAGGGTTAAAAAGACAAAGGTTCAGTCAGGTTGACCAGCGCGAGAGAGCCGCAGCTTTCGTGGCTGCTGTTGTTGTTTTTTATTTCGCACTCGCTTATCAAATTTGTTTTATTTATATTTATTTTTTTCTAACGGGGTAGCTAAGAGAGTAAAGCTCGGTCAGAGAGAGCGAGAGAGTGTGAGATTGAGAGCGAGGGAGTGTGTGTGTGTAACCGACACATCAACATGCACTTGTTGAACGTGTCAAACACATACACACACACACGTTCACTCGCATTCGTCTGTTAGTTGGCATGTAAAAATTTATAGCATACTTTTCAGCGCATGCGACTGGGCTCGCATTGTTTACGTATCTGCTGTTGTGGCCAGCGCGACGAGTCGCGATATTCGATTTGAATTGTTGTTGTTGCTATTGTTGTTGTTGCTATTGTAATGGTATTCACGTCAAATAAATCAATTATAATCAATTTAAAGGCTGATAATAGCGCGCGGGTGCGAGCATATTAGCTTAATAATAGCTGATTGAATAACTATATTACTTTATTAATCTTTTATTATCATTAGCTCGCGCATATATTTTATTTGAAGCTCTATACATTTTTTTT